TATTCACCCATTTAATCACTGGTTGCTGCTCAAGTGGATATTCTTTGCCTCTTCTGGAAAATCATGGGGAGGGGGAAGAAAATGCCAGTGTGCTGGCTGTAGTGGTGACTGATCTCCAAGTAGGGCTGAATTTGATTATGACTTTATCAGTACATACTTTCCTGAGCTTCCGATATTCTAACAACACATGCAAAAATAGCAGACAGACAGCATCACCTGAATACCTGCTGCAAAGCAGCTCAAACAATGGTTTCAAAACTGTTAATGTTCATCTACCACTTGGTGCTAACACACTAAAATTGTTAAATACAATAAAAACACTTTTACCATGGAATAAGTTCTATTGTAAAAGACCCCATCTAACAAAACATATGTATATAAATGTAAAAAAATAATATTTTGCAGAACCATCAGCTTCCATGAGAAAGAAGCCTGTAGGCAGGTAGTGAGTGCTGTGTGCAGCACATTTCACTGTAACACTGGAATTTTAACAAAACATTGTGTGACCTTTCTGCATTTAAATTTTCAGTCCAAATTGTGCGTTAACAGAGTGCTTGCAGCAGGATTAGAGAATGATTTATATAAAGACTGGTGTTAATTACTGACTGGGATCAGGAAGATAAATGAGGAAATGTAAGGATCTCAGTAGCACCCTCCTCAACTCTTGCTTCATTTTCCAGTGTACTGCCACTGTTCTCTACAGGGCTACAAACCAGTCATGAGACCACCAATATGCCATGTTCTTCCCCAGTTGCTCTTCAATTTGCTCTATCAAAGAGCTAACAGTTCTGTCTGAGGTGCCTGACAGAAACTGAGCACCAGTAACAGAGATAAACCTTCTAACAAAAAAAGGCATAGCTAATTTCTGCTTATGATCCATCTTGCCCTTGTTATGGCAAAACCAGTGTTTGAGAGAACATCATTAGGCAGCTTCTATTGCTTCTGGCAGCAGAGGAAACTGTTCTTTTCAGGAGCATTGGGAAGAATCAGTATTTGTAAGCCTTCAGCTGCTGGATTTGCTCTGGTCAAGATCAAAATGCAAAAAGGGAATCCAAGGGAAGGAATGAGTCAATAAAGAAATAGACAAGATGGCACAGATGGAAAAGAGAAAGAAAACCAAGGAAAATGTTAAGTTAGGCAGGACTGAACTTGCAGATAGCAGTGACTTTCAGGTATGTGATTAGAAATTTGGAAGCCCCGCTCACAAAGAGACTACTTGCATCCGAGGACTCAGGGCCAGTAAATGCCTTTCAGCAGCTTTGATTTAGTGAATAGAACCTTCCATGGAATGCATCCCTTGTAAACAGATTTTGCAGAGATAATGTAAAATTTCTCAAGAGCATGATTATATTATTATAATATAGATTTATGGAGTATGGAGTAGCCTTAATGGGAAATTAAGCTATAACAATGCACATCAAAATCTTTACACCAGTACTGTAAAAAGACTTATTAAAAGATATAGCCAGCAAAGTTAACCTTTACTTTTATAAATGGGCTGTACTGTTCATATCTGGAAGGCAGTCGAACCTGTCTCCACCCCCTTGTCTTTCCCACCTCTCTACTGCTCTTTCTGGGTTAGCATCTCACTGAAAAGTTTAGTGGTCCTCTCACATCTTGTTGTATATGCACATATGCACTAAAAACTAGTCTGAACAGCACAGAGGAAGAAGGTGCCTCTCAGCACCAAGCATCCATATCTTAGTCTCAAAAGTTTTGTCATCTACTTCATTCCCCTTGACTCTCAAAGATAGCTGAACTCTTTCATATGATCAAGTGTAAAAAAAAAAAATGCTACTGAATGATATTTACATAATACATAATATATCAGAGATAAAGAGGTGGACAAAGTGAGAAAGCTCCAGTGTCAATATCTGGGGCTAAATCTAGCCCATATCTCCTTTTAACTGTAGGATGAGCTATGCAGAGAACTGAGCCTTCAGTTATCATTCATGTATCATGTATCATTCACTACCCCTTCTGAAAGAAGAGATTAAATGAATGCAAATACCATTACAAAAGTGGCAGCTGCATTTCTTCAGCCATGCTGCCACTTACAAAAAAAACCCCACAGAATAGTAACACCAAGGCTCCTAGGTTGTATTCTCATTCCCAACTAATCACTGACTGCTTTACACCTCAGTTCAGTGGGAGCCAAGCTCAACAAACACCACAATGTGAAATCACCTCAGCAGTCTGTGTGATCAGCAGAAAACTAATCAGATCTGCATGAGACTGTCCAGATCCCATGTGCTGTACACCCACAAGGTCCGGTGTGGTTTGACTGCAACAGAAAATGACAAAGCTATATTCTAAGTGATTCAGGAACACAACATTTTTTGTCTTACACTGGAGAGCTACACCCACTACAACCTTGCTTGCTGCACTGCATTCCCTCTGTTCTTCCTCTCTGTAGGGTCCTTCTGCAAGTTCCATCTTCCAGTCATTTATCCTTGAATGGCAATATCCAGAGACACCTTAACATCATTTCTTAGCTCACGCTAAGCTCTATTTTCTTATGGTAACATCTCATACATGCTCTATGCACAGCATCTGTTGAACATAATCCACTGATTATAGAATCACAGAATCAACTAGATGGTTCAGGAAAGGTCATAACAAGCTATCAGATATATCAAAAAGAAAAGAATCTAAAAATTCTAATACTGCCCTAACCTTTGGCTCCTCTATAACTATTAGTTGAAGCTTCTGGTTCAGTCTGTTGAGCAGTTAGGAATGTGTCAATGATATGAATTCCATAGGAAGCCAAACCAGAAACTCCACTACAGGAACCCATCAGATGCACTCCAACTACTAACAGCAACATAAAGATGCAAACCAGTTTCTTCAGACAGCCTCAAACACGCACTTTTTGAGGAATCCCACCGAATCTAGTCCAGATCAGACCACACCAAATCCAGTCCAAAGTAAAACAAACCTTCCACTTTATTTGAGTGTAGGTGTAGGGCCATACCCACCAACTGTTGCCATTTACTCATTCATTTCTGTTATACCAAACTATTTGCAAACCTTTTCTCCAGGTTTTTCAATGACTGTGTTTACTTGGCAGGAAAGTAGAAGCAGTGACATTTAGGTTGTTACTGAAATCTTTTTGCTTCATCTACACGTGCATTCAGTAGGATGAAGTGCAAGTTTACGCCTTTTTCCCCTCCCAGAAAGTTTCTCCACTCAAATCTGAAGTCTAGATGAACTAAGTCCAATTGCACAAGTAAAATTACCCACCCTCCTGTAGTTTACAGTCACACACAAATAGCTGGAAGAACAGCACAACTGGGCACCCACTTTAGAGAAGCAACATCTGAACACATATGGGACTATGGCACCATGAAATAAAATACAAGTCTTCAGTTGCCATTCAGTTCTTTGTGATTAACCATAATGGGCATGAGGAGGGGGGAAAAAAAAAAGAAAAAAAAAAAACAAAAAAAGGAAATGAAAAACACTTCAGTGCAACATAAAATGTTCCTAAACAGCTGAAAGCAGACGAGCACCATGAGATAGCCAGGCAGATGTAACAAAGGTCACAATCAATCTGTCACTAAGAGACCAGTGGCACCCAAGTGCTACATTTATGTCTGCAAATACCAAAAGAGCAAACATGCTAACCCTTCTACAGAAAGAGCACACTTTTTCTCTCTACTGTAGGTGCCTGATGCTGACAACTCCTGATGGACAACTCCTTCACCTCCATGAAACCACATTAAATCCAGCACAGCTCAGCATATTAGAAAGGAGTTACTAAAGACAATTGATAATGCACATGGCACATGATGCCTGTTCTAATGAATACTTGTCTCATTATAAAGATCTGGAAATCACACTAAGTGGAAAGCTCATGCTTCGTAACAGTGTTTGAACAGATCATTTTCCAACAAATCACTCAATATGAAGGAAACATCATTAAGAAACCAACTGAAAAAAAAACAAACCCAGGAGTAGGAAACAATCAAAACTATTTTCCACGGCAACCACACAAAAAGAAAAATCGTAAAACAAGAAGGTTTAGCTGGTTTATGCAAAGGGAAGTTGATTTATGTATAGGAGTGACTTGCTCATGAAGATTTAAACGTTAATACTCTAAATAGAGAGATAACATATCTCTAACTTACACAGATCATGTTTGGCTCCAGAGGCGATGTACTAAACTACTTCTAGATAACTCTTTACTGCTGTCTTATACAAGTTCAGTTTAGTTCCTAACAGCCACTGCGGACCACTTTGCCTGTACGTGTTTGCCGTGGGGAAAAACAAATAAAACACACCCCCCTCCCCAAAAAATCCCAAATTTAATATTGCCTTGCAAACAGGATTTGCTGTTTCATAGAGACCAGCAATAGTAACATACATTATATGCTCTCCAGTGACCCAAAATGCTTTACAAACTGCCTTTCAGAACCATTCATTCCTCAGAAAACGCCGCCTGAGTGAAATGCAACAGCTTCTTCCGAAGGAAACACAGAAAGCTAGCTAGGACAGAGCAAATAAAGGACAGCTTTTCCACCTCTGGTGAAAAGTTTTATTTCAGAGGCAACACCCAGCTAACTGCTACGCGTCCTGGATGGAAACTAATGTAGTCTTGGCCAGAAGAGAACATTTCCAGTAAGCGGAAACCCAAGGAGTGCTCCAGAACACAGAACTGGCATCAGTCCAAAGCAGCAGCGAAGGAAAGCATCACCATTATATAGCCTCACTTGGCAACACTCTTCCGTGGTCTTTGACAGCAGCAGCACCTTGCCTACCCCACCTGAGCTCCACAGCAAAGCGCACAAGGAGCCAGCAAACTGGGCGTGGAGAACACACTGTACCATCAACAGCATTAGACCAAGACAGACGCCCAACAGGGTGCTGCAAACGTCAGAAAACCACACTTCAACACAGCTGACCACAAGCATGTAACTTTTAAAGACCATTCTGATTTATGTTAAGAAGTTGCAAAGACTTTTTACAAGTTACCCTCTTAACTACCACCACTATTTTACCTAAGTAGATCAAGCCAAATCCTCCCTGGCCGATCTGGCTGCCCAGCCGCCACACTTTCCCTTCGGTGTCTTTCAGGATCATGTCTCTGGGGAGAGGAACCGGCAGCTTGCCTTTGCCGCGATCCTTTGGCGGCATCGCACCTTGAGAGAGAGGAAAAAACGAAATCAAAAGCTGACTTTGATCAGAAGAAACAACATCCCTCCAAGTCCTTTGCCCAGCGGGCCCAGCTCGCTCCCCCTCTGGCCGCTTTTCCCCGTCCCGGGCCTTTCAGCGGAGCGGAAGCCGGGTCTGCTCACCCACTGCGGCGTCCGCTCCACCGGGATAGGGCAGTGAGCGCTGGGCCCCGCCGCCCGCTCCCCCCCCACACACACACACGCACCTCCACAGGAGCCCCTCGGGCTCCCTCCGCCGCCGGCCGCAAACTTCCCGGCCGGGAACTTCCCGCGGGGCGGGTGCAGGAGGCAGCGGAGGCGGTGAGCGGCCGTCCTCCCGCTGGAGCCCCGGCTCGGGCCCCGCTCCGCCGCCCGGCTCCCCTCAGCAGCGCGGAGCCCGCCCTGGGGGAGGCGCGCGCCGTTTCCCGCCTCCCGGCCGTGTGGCGCTGCCCGCTGAGGCGGCGGCGGGACATGGAGGAGGTCGATGAACAGCGGAGATTTCCCATCCCTTCGGCTGTCCCGCTTCTAAAGGTGCGCTGGCGAGTGAGGAACTCATCTATTTGGGTTGTTTTTTTCCTTTTTAAACTGTTTTGGTGCATATAGGTGTGTGTGATCGGGGTGTTCCGTGCCCGGGGTTAAAATAAAGTACAAAAGTCAGGTTGTAGCTTGGGAAAGGACCTCAAAGCTCCTCCAGCTCCAACCCCTGCCACAGGCAGGGACCCCTTCCACTAGAGCAGCTTGCTCCAAGCCCCTGTGTCCAACCTGGCCTTGAACACTGCCAGGGATGGGGCAGCCACAGCTTCTCTGGGCACCCTGTGCCAGCGCCTCAGCACCCTCACAGGGAAGAGCTTCTAAGGTCTAACCTGAATCTCCCATTTTAAGTTTGAACCCTGTGGTTTCATGACACAGCAAGGACTTCAGGAGCTGTAATGAAGTCATAGAGCCATCATGGTACCACCCCTCAGTCAAGCCACCTCACTTTGGCCTCAGGATCTTCCTGGCATAGCTCAAGGATCAATCCTACACATACAAACACTTTCCCAGGGCAGTGCTGGAGCCACCATCCCTGCAAATGTTCACACACCGTGTAGACGAGGCCCTCAGTGCCATGGGTTAGTGGTGGCCTTGGCAGGGCTGGGGCAAAGATTGGACTTCATGATTTTGAAGGTCTTTTCCAACCTTTTTGGTTCTTTGATTTCCAAACTTACCCCAAAGCCATCATGCAGCACCTCTCGTGTTCACACTGGGTGACATGGCAGAGGCTGGCGCTGCCCCAGAGTGCAGTGAGAAGAGCAAAGGCCAAATGACAGCCATTCCTGCACAGAAGTACAGATGGAGCTGAACCAGGGGTGGTGGGTCAGTCATATCACTGCCATTAGCTTGTGAGCTGATAATTAGAACCAACAACAAACCCTCAGTGCCCTTTAGCTCCCCAAGCACATAGAGCATACCTCTGATCACAAGCCACCATCTTGTGTGATCTTTGATTTATTAACAGGGTCCACTCACCCAGCCAGCACACTACACCTAGTTAGAGCTCCCTGGGGACCACCACATCTTCCCAGCAGTGACTTCTTGTCCTTATACATAAATAAATTTCACAAACGATGGAAGTCCAGAACTTCTTCAGCAACCACAGTTTGCAAGTAAACTTAAAATCGTAGAATCACAAAATGGTTTGGGTTGGAAAGGATCTTAAGATCTAGTTCCAAACCCCTGCAACGGGCAGGGCCACCTTCTCCTAGAGCAGGTTGCTCCAAGCCCTGTCCAGCCTGGCCTTGAACACTACCAGGGATGGGGCTGCAATAGCTTCTCTGGGCACCCTGTTTCAGTTCCTCATCACCCTCACAGTAAAGAACTTCCTCCTTATAGCTAACCCAAACTTTCCCTGCTTAAGCTTAAAAGAATTACTCCTTGTTTTATCACTACAGTTAATATTAACACAGATTGCGACTGAAAGTACATAATGCCATCAGTAGAGTAGGCCTTAACATAACAACCTTTACTGCTTCATCAGTCTTGCAGGCTTTGTTGTTTTAGCATTACTGAAAGGACCAGCTAAAGAATTGCCAGTAGAAAACTCATCCATAAAAAAGTCAAGATTCATTTGCTTTATGCCATAAAACTTTTTGTAGGGTTTTTCTCCTCTTTGGAACAGCTGTCAAAACAGGCTGTAGGAGGGTAGTGTTGGGATAGTTTTGTTTGTGTGTCGGGGTTTTTGTTGTGTTTCCCCTGCAAAAACCACCCAAACAACCCGAGATGCCTAGTGCTGCGTCAAAGAAACCATTACCATTCTCTGGAGAGAGCTAGCACCTTTATTCACACAGAGCACTTGGGCAATGCTGTCAGGGTGTCTCACTTGGGATGAGAGCCACTCTTCTGCCACACGCAAAAAGTCGTCTCAAAGAAAATTGTCTTCAAATAGTTACCTGGGAACCAGAGAACTTGCTTGTGTTGAAGGAGAAACCTTTTCTGCTCAACTGTTGCAAAAAGGGATTCACATGATTAAACCGAAAAGGATGCATTAGAGAGCTTACTGCTTCTGAGCTATCTTACCGTGCCTGTAGAAGTACATCAGGATAAGAAAGTGAAACAAATCTGGTGAGGTTTGCATCTGTCTTCTACGCGTTCAGCAGACACCAACGATAGCATTAGGTTGCTAGCAGAGACCTACATTGTTACGTAGTTTAAGGCTCCTTTTTTGGGGAACCAGGAGAAAACACCTACAAATTAAGAGACAAAATTGTGTAGAAATTGTGGTGTGGTTTTTTTTTTTCCCCCACACATTAAGTATGGATGAATAAAAAGGTACATGTTCCTAAAGAAACAAAATTGATTAGATATTCCTGTTTTTTTTCTGAGTACACAAGGCCTGCAGTTCATTTACATTTCATTCCCCCAAAACCATTGAGAATACTTTTAACATCAGGAAGTTAGTAGAATACATTGATTTAATGAAAGGTTGGTGTTCATTACAAAACTTCACAATTCAGAAATGTAAGTTGTTTTAAACTTACTTACTGCTTTTTATTCCTGAGCAAGGATAAGATCACAAAACGAAAACAAGTTCTGATGCATAATGAAGTCATCAGAAAAGGCTATTTCAAAAATACTCATTTCAAGCTAATAGCAAAACTAAAAGTAGAAACTAATACACCAGGCTCTATTTAACTGTTAATGAGTATAGTAGCATAATCTATTACTCTTTGAAGTCAGGCTACACAACACCCTTTTTACCCATGCAAGACTGATACATCCATAGGCAGCTGAGGTTTAAGGTCTTCAATTTTCAACTAAAGCTTTCCTTTCCTAAAAAAAAAAAACAAACAACTCTACAGCTTGAACTCTACTCAAAAGCAAAGGTATCTGAAGTCTTAGTTCCCTTTAATATCATGTGGCTCTTTCACAGCTTGTACAACTTAACAATGTCATGTAGCATAAAAAGGTTTAAAATATATATTCTGCAAGTCACAGAAAATAATTATCAGTTTGTTGACGTTTGGGAATTTGGCTTATTTTTATTTAAAAAAGCATTTACATAAAATTGAAGGCTTAAAAACTTTTATTGTTTATTGCAAGAGTTAAAAATCCCTCAGACAAGTGTACAGGAATGTGATAAGGACTAATAATACTACTCAGACTAATAAGCAAAAAACAATTTATTAAAAAGAGAAGCTTCCTGCATATATCAGACTCCTTCTGAAGGATGAGTTCATCTGTCACTTAAAATCAGATATTTATTAATAAGGCTGACAGAAATATATACAAGTGTCTAGAATGTATTTCATACAACTCTGTTCTAGACAACGCTGAACAAGGAATCAACACATGGACCTACTTAAAAATCAATAAAGACCAAAAACTTTACCTGAGAAAAGCTCTAATCAGACTAGACCTTGGTACTAGGTCCTTTGGCCCTATATATAACACATCCCTATGCTTTGTGGGTGGGACTGAGAAAACCTCTTGTGCTGCTGGGCTGAACTGGAGATAGGGTTGGTTTCTTTTTCTCCTGCTTACTGTCAGCCAGTTAGCAACTCTCCCAACAAACATGAGCTTCATTTAGTCAGGTTAAAGCCTCTGTTGCCTCTTCACAGTTGCTTCAAATTAGCAGTTAGCTGTTGTGATTTAAGGGGGGGTGAATGGCAAAAATAATGGCAGGTAGGGGTGTGGGCTTTTATTTGGTATTTGGGTTTGTTTGGTTTTGGTTTGTTTTCAGAAAAGACTAATTATGGTGGAAGTAATTTCCCTTTAAGGTGGTATAGCCACCATTACTGCCAAATTCAAGAATCATAGGAGAGAGGTGTGTATGTAATAAGAGTAAAAATACACAAATCATGCCTGCATCCGACTGGAAATGCTAACAAATTACTGTTATTGCACTTCCTCAGAGCACATTGTTTCAAACAGCTGAGGGCCACAGGCCCTTCTCATGAAGCATCTATCCTTCATGCATCTCAGGTAGGCATTTTCTTATTAGTCAGAGCTATATATTAAAAGTGGTAGAAAGACCTCTTTCTGGATGTTTTAGTGCTCCTGACATCTTCAGGGGCTTATTCATTTGCTTTGCTTGGTATATATTTACTATTATACTGATATTACAACAATACATGATGGCTGAGGAAATGTGAGCTTCTCTGCAGAGTTGATACAGGTATGGTTGCTGTTGTATTCCTGATAAAGATAATGGTGGTGCAATACTTTTTAGGCTAATCTGTGTATTTGTTAATGCCCTAAGCTGTGTTTTCTGCAAGGCAAATACAGGGATCTAGTTTTGGAGTGAAGATCTGTGTGTAGATAACTTTAGTTCATACAATGGTTCAAAGTTATATACCTAAGTAGCATTTCAATAAAAGGTTCTGCTATTTTGTTATGTATTCAGGTGCCTGGTGCTATTTAATATCTGGCTTTCTGGATTTGTAGGTGTCCCAAAGGCACTTTGAAAGTTATAAGTGAGTCTGTAAAGTTTAAACTTTGGAAGTTCTATCCACACCTGTGATTCAGAAGCAGCACCCTATTTCTAATTGTCTTTCTAGAATAAGGTCTAGCAGGTGACAAAAAGTTATGTTGTATTACCATGGGTTGCATTTAAAAAGTGTGGTAGGATTCTCAGGGAGTGAGTGCTTTCTTTAGGTGTTTAAAAACATAGCAAACTATTTTTATTTCAGGCCTGAGGCTGTATTTGGTTTTGGCTTTGTTTTGAAACACTATATATTAAATACTTGATGCATTTTCCATTTATTTCAATCCTTTCTTCTTCTCCTTACTCAAACCTAAGCTTGAGGATACAAGGTTTTACTCAATTATATGAAATCTTGCAGTATCATGTAACAAAAAGATCCTT